GTAGCAAACATTGTGAGGTTGGCTCAGGATCAGGCAGTGTTTCATTCTCTTGAAGATAAGGTTGCTTTGAGTCAGAACCCACTTGCTGCCTTCAACAACTACCAACAACCAATCTTTCTAAAGTCAGTTTGCCTCGTCTTTCTCCTGTAGATCATCTGGTGAGTTCCAACTTCTGGCCTTTCGATTAACAGCCCAACACTTAACTCACTGTGCCACCAGGACTCCTCTAACATGCTAAGTTTTATGAATATAGGGACCTTCCAAATGGGAGGATGACCCTTTTCTTTGCTTCTCTCCTATCTAAGAAGTAACGCAGAGACATCTCTTGTTCTGGGAGACTTCTAAATGTGACAGAAAATAATTTCTGCAGTAAATGGAAAAGACTGCCTGATTTTTTTACATTCTCAACAAAAGATTCAACTTCTTGATGGAATATTTAATCTTTATCATTTCATTCCCTCGCTATGATCTTTGCTCAGCTTTTTTCTCTTCTCTTACAATCCTTCTCAGAACCAAGAGCAGCTTTCAGCTGAGAACATTTCTCACAATGCATAATATGATGATTTGATAGTTTTCATATCTTATGACAGTCTTGGTAACAGGGAAAGGAAGACTTTGAGTTGACAGTGTCAAATAGAACCAATCCCTCTCACCTTAGGTAGGATTTCTTCATTACTTATGTTGCATATTCATTTGCAAGTACAAAAAGGAATTCCTCACACAATTGAGGGTGAAAAGAGATTCGGTTAAGAAAGATAACTGTTGAAGGACAAGTGAAGGGTTTCTGCTCCAAGGAAGATTTAAAGCTTCAGAAACCCTACACAGGGTTGCAAAGAGTCAGAAACAACTCAATGGCACTTAAAAACAACAACAATCTTTGCATCCCTTGAAGAAGGAATAAACATCTCATTGTCTTTTCAATGGCATCCTGGTGTGGGCCTGCCAGATAAGCACTAGACTGTTAACCTCAGGGTTAGGGGTTCAAATCACTAGTTGGAAACCCTATACACTAAAGGATTGCTATGAGTCAGCACTGAATCGACAACTGTTAAAAACCAACAGTCTTTTCAACAGACACTACATTTTTAGGCATCCCACTAATGGGGAAAGAATATGGAGTTTTAGAAATTATCTTGCTCATTTTTCATCCCTTAGGATCAAGGCAAGTGTGTTGAAGCATCTTCTCATGTCAAGTTGTCTGGCAATCCTTCCCTGCTGGAATGCATTGCAGTAAAATCTCACCTGTAAAGGCACGAGGTAAGAAAACAAAAAAGAGCTCTCTTTGGGGTCATCTTAAGGGATGTAATTTAGACTGGAAAATTACTTAAAAGGGACACATTTGAATGCAATTATCTTTTTAATTTTTTTGTTATATAAACTTGAAGAAACCTACATATCTATCTGTTGATTGAAAATTGAGCTAGAAGGATGAGTTCAATTCCAAATGAAGGATGACCAAGGACCATATTCTCGGGATTCTACCAGTCTCTATATCACTAATAAAACTGGTCTTTTTATGATTTTGAGTTTTGTTCCACATTTTCTTTCACTCTCTCCAGGCCCTTCTAATGTGATTCCTTTCAGAGCAGCTGGTAGTGGGAGGCAGATACTATCTGTTTCTGGTCTCAGGGTTGTGGAGACTGATATTTATGTGGTCCATTCATCCATTAGACTAATTGTTGAAGAATCTATTTTTGCATAGTACAATAAATAACCAGGATATGTTATTCCAATTCAACTATATTTACTCATTATTGGATATCCTTATTCTCAGACTTTCCCTTTTGAATAAACAAATTAACAATACTTTCATATGCTCAAGACAATATATGGTATTAATCTTTTTTTTTTAAACAATACAAATAAAAGTTTATTGTACAAAATTAAGGCTTTCATACTTCACAGCTCATTAAGGCAAAAGTAAGACTAAGTAATAATTTATATCCAAAAATGTTTTATTTTCACAATCCTCCTGGCTCCCTATAATAAAATGGTCTGACCAAAAATTATCAAAACAGACACTATACATAAAGCAGGGTCCTTTAAAGAAGATAATCCCAAATGCCAAATTGTTTCTTGGCATTGGTGATCTTCATGGCATGGGATGGTGTGATCTTAAAGCCTTATAAAATATCCCTGGCAGCTCCCGCCTGCCCATCATTTTCAAGTTCAACAAAAGCAATGCTATACCTACCAGGTACCAAGCATACTTCCTTTAAACTAGGGAACTAATTAAACAGCATGGGTAACATCATCTCATTCGTCTCTTCTGGTAAATTACTAAAAAATAAAATATAGTTTGCATATCCTTGTGCGTTTGCTGACTTTGGTGGACCCTCACTAAGATTTTTGTTGGTGGTTGTTACTACTTGTTACACAGTTTTAGCTTTTTTCATTTCTGTTTTCATCTCTTTGTCAGTAAACGTGCTGCACATTTTAGAAATTGTATCAGAATCTGTTTTTGCATATTGGGTTTGCATTGGTTTACTATAGAATGGAAATCTTTGTAACTGTCTCAAGACATTTTGGATGAGCCTAGTTGTTTAAATATAACAAAGGCCTGCCCCCTTATTTTCACAGTCTTTAAAGCCACAATATCTACATGGCCAAACTTCTTTTTTAATTGTATCATTCATGTTGTTGATAATAATTGTATGATTAGGTCTGAGGTCCATGTTTTCATCCAAGTTGTTTGAATTGAAAGCCATATGGTATTAATCTTAATTCATTTTTTTTTCTCTCACTCTCATTTCTATTTTATCAGAATCTCTTAATACTATTTCAAAAATGTATCACCTGTTAACTAACCTCAATTTCCATTGCTTTTCTCCTAGTCAAAGTCAGTATCACTTGGATTATTTCCATGACTTTCTTCTATCTTATGTCATTCTTCACATAGACTCAAAGTAATCATTTTGAAATATGAAGCAAGCTATATTTTTATTTTTAAAACATTTAATGTTTTTAAAACTCTCCAATGTCTTCTCATAACATTTTTAACAAAAATAAAAATTATTCTTATAATCTAGAAAGTCCTATGAAATCTGACCACTTTGTTAGTCTCTGGCATTACCAAGTGGCCCACTCCTATTTGTTCATTAAACCCCAGGCATGCTGGATTTCAGCTCTGAATGAAATTTTTCCCTCTAGATCCTATTTGTTAGACAGGTCTCAGATTAAATGCCACCTGAATAGAGGTGCAATCATAGGCCACCTTAAGTACTGTATTAAAGTAAATTATATTTGTATTTATCTAAAATTGTCATACTTGTTTTCTAATTTAATCTGAGTTTATAAAATTCAAGAGTTAATTTTGAAACCCAGTGAATTCTGACACTTAATAAATGTGGTCCATAGTAAACATTAGATGAACTAGCCAAAGAATGAATACATGCCACATGTTAGGTACTTTTTTAGGTGTTGGACAAGGCAAATGTAATACTGTTCTACACACCAGGAACCCATAGTCTGGTGTTAGAAGAATTGTTGAAATCACTAATTTCAGTTTCTCATAGGACAAGACTTCCTTTTTGACTGGAAGCTCTCTGTCTAGGCAGCAACAGAGCTTTTAAAGAGTATTAAGGAGAACACTGGCTTGGGGTAGAAGGAAGGAGAAAATACAAAGGAAGAACTAGAAGGGAGAGAGAGATAGGGTTCTTGGGAGTTGTTTCAGTAGGGCTACAGAAAGAGTATGGTAAAAAAATAAATAAACTACATGGAAATTGGGAAAATAATATCAAAATGGATAAGCATAGTTATGAGTTATCTTCCTGGCTGGCTTTTAAACATTTATTCCAATTCCAGTTTCTAAAATGATCTGATTTATAATGACTCTGGGCCATTATGACAAGTAGTGATTCTATAGTGTCCAAGATGCAGCTAATAAATAGTTGATGTTGTTATTGTTAAGTGCTATTGAGTCGGTTTCAACCCATAACGACCCTGTATAGGGTTTAAGAGGAGCCACTGGTAAAGTGTGAACCATCGATCTTGCGGTTCAAAACAACTTTATAGTCCAGCACACTTACCCACAATGCTGTAAACCATTTTTTCTTACCACTAATGTTGCAATGGGTCAGAACTGAATCATTGGCACTTAACAACAACAACAACGATGTGTAAAGGAGTCCTGGTATGGTGCTGTGGCTTAATGTGCTGGACTGCAAGTTTGGTTTGAGTGCAAGGTTGGCGGTTCAAACTCACCAGCCATTCCTCAAAACACTATACTGGGTCACTATAAGTTGGAACTGACTTGATGGTATTAACAACAACAACAAACGTATAAAATTAAGTCCTGGTATGGCACTGTAGGATAAACACTGGACCATAAGATTAGTTTCAAGCTCAAGGTTAGTGGTTCAAACTCACCAGCCACTCCTTGGAAACCATATATATGGTCACTATGATGTGAACCTGACTCGACAATATTTGTCAACAACAACAATATATACAATAACAGGTAAATTGTTTCTTTCTAATATCTGTTTGCTCCTCAGCAAAAATATTAGTGGCACAATTGCTATCCTCATACTTTTCTTCCTTAGACTCTTGGGACTTTGTTAAGAATCAGAGAGAGAGTTCATATGCAGGATAATGTAACATAGATATCACTAGCATGATAGATATACTTTGAGTAATAGAATGAACTAAGGTTAAGGTTAGTCTTCTTTCAATTCCCCCTTAAAGTATGGATTATTTTATGTAATCTGCATAGTTGGTGGAAATGGTTTCTAAATTGTAGAGTACAGAGCTTGTTAAAAAACAGATGCTCAAAAGCACCAAGTTTGATGAAGTAGAGGCTAGGCCTGAGAATGAGCAATTAAGAAAAAAAAAATGCAGGTTGTCATATTATAACTGAGAAACAATGATTTATTTGATGTAACTATTACCTTTAAGAAAGAATTCTGAGATGATATAGCTGGAGTGATATCTTGAAAGTAAGCTTGCATTTCTGTGGTCATACTGAGAAAGAAACACATTTTCTTCAGGGTAAACCCAACATGTGGCCCACCAACAACTCTACTTGCTTTCTGCTGACCGGTTTTCCAGGTTTGGAGACATATCATCATTGGATTTCCATGCCCTTCTTTTTTGTCTATATCTCTGTCCTTTTGGGCAATACCACCCTCCTCTTTCTCATCAAGGAAGATCACAGTCTCCATGAGCCCATGTACTATTTCCTGGCCATGCTGGCAGCCACAGATTTAGGGCTAACCTTGACCACAATGCCCACAGTGCTGGCAGTCCTCTGGTTGGATCACAGGGAGATTGGAAATGGGGCCTGCTTTTCCCAAGCCTACTTTATACACTCACTTTCCTTTGTAGAGTCTGGTGTTTTGCTTGCCATGGCCTATGATCGCTTTGTTGCCATTAGCAATCCCCTTAGATATACTTCCATCCTAACCTATACTAGGGTGATGAAGATCGGCCTGGGAGTTCTGCTGAGGGGATTTGTTTCTGTTACTCCCCCAATAATGCTCCTCTATTTCTTCCCCTATTGCCACTCCCATGTCCTCTCCCATGCATTCTGCCTTCACCAGGATGTCATCAAACTGGCCTGTGCAGACATCACCTTTAATCGTCTGTATCCCATAGTGCTTGTGGTCCTCATATTTGTGATGGATTCTCTGATTATTCTAATCTCCTATGTGTTGATACTCAAGAGTGTTCTGAACATCGCATCCAGAGAGGAGAGGGCCAAAGCCCTCAATACCTGTGTCTCCCATATCTGCTGTGTCCTGGTTTTTTATGTCACAGTGATTGGACTGTCTCTGATTCATCGATTTGGGAATCACATTCCACATATTGTCCACCTTATTATGAGCTATGTCTATTTTTTGTTCCCTCCATTAATGAACCCTATAATCTATAGTGTTAAGACCAAGCAGATCCAAAATGGAATTCTCCGTCTTTTTACTATCCATAGAATTGGGGCTTGATCTCTGGTCAATAAGGACTCCCACACAATATGAGAACTTAAGCAAAGGAGCAAAGATGTCTCATATCTGTTTAGTTGCTGTTGTTGTTGTTTTTAAGTACTGTGGAGTTGATTCTGACTCATAGTGACTCTGTTTAGTAGCCTTCATGAAATAGCTGTTATAGTAAAGCAACAAATTGCCCTGAGGTATATGCAAGTTTTTGTAATGTTTTGTATTTCTATTTACTAAATATATTTATCTACCTTTCACTCAGTCCCTGTGATAAAAATATCTTAGGTGACTAATTTAACAAGTATGCATTTAGGGTTAGAAACATAGGTTAGGGAAAAGAATCATCAGGGTATAAAATTAGGAATCTGGATAAAATGGAGTAAAGTTGGGTTCATTTATATTAAGTTAAATCATCCCATATAAGACTCCACACAAACTATGGGGATGTATAATTTTGTCACAAAATTTGAGGGATTTTCCTGCAAAAATTTACAAGTCCTCTTATTATAGGGTTTTAGTAATCATTAAAATAGTCTCTCTTTTTGACTTTTTCTTCTTCATTAAATAGTTATGATTTTGTATTAAGATTCATGAGCTCAGGGTGAAGGCACAATGGCAAACCAGTCAGACAATCCATAGTGACCCTTAAACAAAGACCAGAAACCAAGTGAAACAAATGCATAATACAGTCCTCGAACCCAAAGATTCAAATGAAAGGATAAAATAGTAGATCAAACACTGATTGGAAGAAGAAGCTGAATAAAAGCAGTGAATGAGGAGAGGTATGAAGTAGAGGTGCCTAGTCAGCCAGACCAGCACAGTCTAGTCTTTTAATTCATTGCAAACAATGTTCTGGGTTAGGAAATTTGGAATACAACTAAAAGAAATCCCTATAAGACAGAGACAAAGTGTAGAGAAATTCAGAATGAAGATTAGTAGAAATTAAGTTTGATCGAAGGAAGGAAAATGCAGGAAGCAAGAGACTCAGGTAAACACATTTCAGTAGAGGGCCAATAAATAGAGATAGAACCATTCACAATTAATGATTCATGGCTGTTTGGGTTGGGTACCTGCACAATTAGGATGGCTTGTATGGTGACAGCTGGAGACACTGGAATCAAGGTCCAGTATCCTCTACCCTCAAATCCTGCTGCATTTAGTCAAGGGAGGAACCATAAAACGTGTTGCATTAACCCAGGAGTGTGCCAGCACCTATACAACACCATACTTATTGATAAATGCATTGAATGTTAATGGAATAAATGGATCACAATTATGCTGTATATTAAAGACACATAAAGACAGATATATGATAAAAATTAAAGGATGGAAAAGTGTATATCAAACAAATGGCAACCAAAGAAATGTAGGAGTGGTAATATTAATTTCTTATAAAATAAACTTTAAAGAAGAAAACCAGCATAAAAGATAAGGAAGACTATTATGTAATGATTACAGGGTTAATGGAACAAGAATACATAATCATAGTAAATATCTGTGCACCCAATGAAAGAGCCCCAAAATACAAAAATGAAACTTTAACAGAATTGAAGAGGAGTAGACAACAGCACAATAAGAGTGGTGTTGGTGGTGTGCCATGGAGTCGATTCTGACTCATAGCAACCCTGAATAGGGCTTCTGAGACCGTAATCCTTACCAGAGTAGAAAGCCTTATGTACCTCCCATGAAATGTCTGCTTGCTTCAAACTGCTGACCTTGAGTTTAGCAGCCCAACTCATAGCCAGTATGTTACAAGCATTCCTTCCACAATAAGAATAGGAGACTTTAATACATCACTCTCTATGAAGGGCAGAGCAACAAGGGAAAAAATCTCAGCAAACACACAGAAGAGCCAAACAACAAATCTACCAACTTGACCTCATAGATATATACATAAAACTCCATTCAACAACAACATTATTTTACAGTTCATAATGTTGATCCTCCATAACAGAATGTATGTTCAGCCACAAAGCAACCTCTGTAAATTTAAAAACAATGACATTTTATAAAGCATCTTCTTAGATAATAATGCTAAAAATTAGAAATCTATAATTTTCCAAGCATAAAAAATAAATTCTTGGACTAACAATAACACTTGCTTCAAAATTATTGCTTAATTGTTGTTGTTATTACATGTCACTGAGATGCTTTTGACTCATAACAACCTTATGTAATAGAAGAAATTTAAAAATGAAATAAAAATTCATCAAATCAAACAAGAATGAAAAATGATATACCAAACTTTTGGGAAAAACAATGGTCAGAGAGGAATTTGTAGCAATAAATGCATGCATCAAAAAAGAAGAAAGAACCCAAATCAGCACCTTAACCCACCATCTCCAACAATTGGAAAAAGATAGGTTAAAAATCCTTGAGTTACAAGAAGAAAAGAAGTAATAAAAATCATAGCAGAAATAAAATAAACAAAACAGAAAAACATTAGAATCCACAAGATTAGTAATTGGTTCTTTGAAAAACCTTAAAATTGACAAACCACTGGAAAATCTAGCAAAAGAAAAAAGGTAGAAATGAATGAGTGATGTCACAAAGATCCAAATGAAATAGAAAAAAATAATAAAAATACTGTGAAGAACTGTGTTCTTGTTGAGTGTTGCAGAATCAGTTCTGACTCTTGGCTATCCTGGATAGGGTTTCTGAGGAGCAGCTGCTAGATTTGAACCACCAGCTTTATAGTTCAAACCGCCCTTTCAGTCCAGTGCTTATCCTACAGCACCACACCAGGACTTAAACCAAATTTGAAAATTAAAACAAATGGACACATTTCTAGAAACACACTACCTACCTAAGCTAACACAGACTGAGGTAGAACATTTGATCAGAGCCATAAGACTCATAACAAGAGAAGAAATTGAACAGGTCATAAACTCTCCACAACAATAAAAGTTCAGATGGCTTCGCTGGCGAATTCTACTAAACATTCAAGAAACAATTGATATCAATTCTATTCAAACTATTTCAGAATGTAAAAAGGAGAGAATACTATTGAATTCATATTATGAAGTGAGCATAACCCTCATACCAGAGCCAGGCAAAGGTATCACTTAAAAGAAAATCATAGTCCAATATCTCTTATTACCATAGATGCGAACATTCACAACAAAATCAAAGTTTACAAAACCCAACAACATACAAAAAATAATAATACATCATGATCAAGTGGGACTCATATCAAGTAGGTCCTTAAGGATGGTTCAACTTTAGAAAATCAGTCAATGTATTTCACTACTTAAATAATGAAACAAAGGAAATTAACCATATGATCCTAGCAATCAAAACAGAAAAAAACAATTGAAAAAATCCAACACCCATTTTTTATAAAATGTTCAGCAAAATAGGAACAGAATGGAAATTTCTTAAAATAGTTAATGGTATGTATACAAAACCAACAGCCAACATTGGTCTAAATGGAGAGAAATGGAATGGGAACAGACCAGGGTGTTCCTGGTCTATCATGACTTCTACTCACTATCGTGCTTGAATGCTGAGTCAGATTTATACGCAAGAAAGGGAAATTTAAGGCATCCATGTTGGCAAACAAGAAATAAATTTCTTTCTCTTTTCAGAAGATATGATTATATACACAGAATATCCCAGAGGCTTATCAAGAAAACTACTGGAATTTATAAAAGGATTCAGCAAAGTAGCAGGATACAGATCCACATACAAAAATCAGCTGGATTTATTTAGGGAATAATTACGAGAATTTTTGAATAAGAAATCAGAAGAGTAATGCCAATAATGCCATAATACCCACTGAATAGATGAAAGACTAAAGAATACAAAAGAATCACAAAAAGAACTATACAAGGAGAACTATAAAACACTTAATAAGAAACAACAAAAAAAAGACCTGCCAAAATGGAAGACTATATAAAAAATGGAAGAATCTATCAAGCACATGGATAAGAAGACTTATCACTGTGAAAATGATACTACTACTCAAAACGATTGATCTACAGATACAATGCAAACCCAATCCAGCTTCCATCACAATTCTTTACAGAGAAGGATAAACCAATAAGCAACTTTATTAGCAAAGCACAATGAAGGAAGAAGAACAAAGAAAAGCAAAGCCTTACATTTTTCCATTTCAAAATACAGTACATAGTTAAAGTAATTAAAACAGCCTAGCACTAGGATAATGACAGATATATAGACCAATGAAGCAAAATTGAGAACACCTTCTACCTATGAACAACTAATATTTGACACAGGACCAAATGGGGAAGACATTGTCCCTTTAACAAAAGGAGCTGGCAAAACCAGATATATATTTGCAGGAAATTGGAACAGTATTCATATCTCTTACCCTATACAAAAATAAACTCAAGATAAAAATTTTCAATGTAAAACCTAAAACTATAAGGATCATCTAAAAAAAACATGGGGACAAACATCACTATACAATAATGCATGGGATGAATACATTATTAAACATTATTAGACAGACAGCAGAAGACGAACTAGATAACTACTTGTTGCTAAGTGCCCTGGACTTGCTTTCCGCCGCTCATAGCCACCTTGTATAGGATTTGTTTTTTTTTTGTTTTTTTTTTTTGTACAGGGTTTTCAAGGAGTGTCTGGTGGGTTTGAACCACTGACCTTGTGGTTAGCTGTTGTTGACAGGTGCCGTCAAGTGGGTTCCAATTTATTGTGACCCTGTGCACAAGAGAGCAAAACACTGCCTGGTCCTATGTCATTCTCATTTTAGAAAACCCAAAACTAAGATTTTATGTGTTGTCTTTCAGGGTTATTCATTCAAAAGTTATTATTTCTCCCTTTGTAATTAAAATAATTCTATGATGATATAATTTGATACTATATAAATAAAGTTCTCCCCATCAAAATTTCACTTATTAATCCATCATTCCTTTCATTTTATTAGCTGACATTATGCTATATGAAAGTGGTTTTCTTTTAACCTTCTAGGGATGCATTGATTTATTTATATCTGTGTAAAGTCTCCCTCTTGCTCCATCAAGTCA